AATAGGTGGTCTAATGTTTCTATTTCTCTGCTACACAAATGGCATTTGCCATTAGACTGGTTCATTTGTTAGAGTTTTTGTTCTTTGTATATAATTCTGTGAAAGCATTTCCATTAAAACTCTTTCGTTTTTAAGGGAATTGCTATATTGTGTACTTGATCCAAACTAAGATATCATTCAAATTCCTTTTGAAAATGAATGTCCCATTTTTCTTCTTATTTAGGTTTTGCATTTGGTGTCAAGATTCTTTAGACTGTGTACTCTTTCAATTGCCTGGGTTTTGTTGTTGGAAATGTACCATCTTTTAAATATCCTAAACTTAAATCCTCTTTAATAAAAACTCTATTGTTTTGTTGGCTGTTAATGTTTGTTGTTTAAGTATTAAGAGAATCTATCCAGTTTTGTTTGTGGGTCAGTTTAGTTAACAATGAATTACTATCTATGAATTTATTATGTGTACTGTTCCATATGTCCTTAATTTTGTGAATTCCACTTTTTGCAAAAGACAGTAAAGTAAGGGCTTTCTGTTAAACTGTATGTTAATATTGCCTAGTAATTTCTGGTTAAGAATTTGTGACAGTGTGAGATTTGGCATTTTTGCTTGTAGTTTGGCCCAAGCGAATAGAGCAATTTCTGTAAAAATTGTAAGGTCTAGCCCACTTAGGTCTGAACATTTACATAAATAGTTATGCATGTTATTTTTGTTGTCAAACTGTTGTATGTAAAATCTACCTATACAATTCCAGCTCTGTAGTGTTGAGTGTATAATTTTATACATTGTATTAATGTATTTGGTATAGACCTATGAAAGTTTCTATGTATACCATCCTCATTCCTCCTTTGTTCGTATCATTGCAAACTGCGTTCCTCTCTATTTGGTTATTTTTTGTACCCCATATGTAATTCAAGATCGGTGTATTTATTTGTTTCATATAAGTAAATGGTATTCCCCTGGCTTCTATTTCAAATCGTATTACTGATAATACTAATGATTTTATTACAAGAATTCTTCCACTTATAGTCAGATTTCTAGTTTTCCACACCTGCAAGCTGTTCTGTATCTTCCAAAAAAATTCCCGACATATTTTATCATTATCAACTATGTGTCCATAATAAGTTCTTAATGTTTTTACTGATGACTGTGTCAACTTTATTTTATTAAATAATGTTGTTTTTTTGTGTTTCCAAGGACCTAATTAATGGCTTCTGTCTTATCGTAGTTAATTTTTGACCCTGATGCTTTTTCATAAATTGTAAGTAGTTCAAATGCCTTAGTTTTTGACTCTTCTGTTCTGTTAAATTATTGTGTGTCATCTGCAAACATGTTCAATTTTGTCTCTTTTTGGTTAGTATTACTTGGTAGTTTAATTCCTTTAATGTCATGGTTTACTCTTATTGCACATGCTAATGATTCCGCTTGAAGTATATATAACATCGGGGCTATCGGGCATCCCTGTCTCGCTGATCTAGAAATGTTGAAAAAACATGAAGCAAATCCGTTTGGATGAATACAAGTTTTTGAATCTTTTAGTAGCATTTTCACCCACTCACAAAATTGTTTGCCAAAATTGAAGTCTTTCAAGCATTTCAAAACCCACCCCCATTCCATTCTGTTGGTCCAAAACAATTATAGAGCCTCCCTGATTTTCTAATTCACAATAGTCTATAATATCTTGAATTTGTCTATTTGCATCCATAATTTTACGCACTGGTACAAAGCCTTTCTGATCTGTATGAATTAATTTACATAGATTTTTTTGAAGCCTGCTAGCTAAAACTTTGGCAATTATTTTGTAGTCAGTGTTCAGTAGTGTTATTGGTCGCCAATTTTTAATTTCTTCTCTTTCTCCTTTTTTGTATATTAGTGTAATGATCCCTTTAGTCTGTGAGTTTGTTAGTTTATTAATAAGTTCTATAATTTCTTCTTTAATTAGCCACCAGTACTTTTTATAAAATTCTGCAATAATTCCATCTTCCCCTGGAGACTTGTTGTTATTTAATTTAGATATTGCTTCAAAAAAAATCTGTATCAGTTATTGGCCTGTCCATATTTCTACTTTCTTCTGCAGTTAGTTTAGTTTCCATAAATTGTGATAAGTAATTAGCACTTTCCTCCTCCCATCCCTCAGTTTTAAAAAGTAGAATTTCTTCTGTTCACTTGATATATTGGTTATCCCTGTTTTATAATTACCATCTTCCTTTTTTATTCGAAACCATTGTTTATTTTCTGCATTGAATTTCTCTAGATTAAAGAAATATTTTGTTGATTTTTCAAAGACTTGTATTCTAGATCGTATTCGTTCAGCATCTGTTTTATTGTTATAGGCTTGTTTAATTGTCAGTTTCAGGTTATTCATCCTGTCAATACTTGATGTATCATTCAAAGTACTTTCAGTTAATATTTCAAGTTTACTTTCCATTGCCTTAATTTGTTTTTCATTAATATTCAGTTTCTTTCCAACTTCCATCGCTAGCCCTTTTACTTTAACGTTTATTATTTCCCACCATTCATAAATATCATACCGATGTTTTTCATTTTTCCAATTCACCCAACATGATTGTAGGCTATCACTAAATATTTCACTCTCAATAATTTTATGGCTAATTTTCCATAATCCTTGACCTCTTTCTATTTCTTGTAAAATTATCCTTATTGATAGACAATTATTATCACTGTATGGACAGTGTTTAATTTTTACATCTGTTATTTGGGATTCTAGGTTTATAACGGTTAAAATATTATCTATTCTAGATTTTGCGAGCCCTCTTTCGAATGAATTTTGTTTATAATTTTGATTGCGTCTCCTCCATATATCTTCAATGGTGTATTTTGTAAATTGTGCATGTAACTCTGTGTGTCCAGTGTCATGTTTGTTTTGAACTGGAATTCTATCTTTCGTACTATCTATAACACAGTTAAAATCTCCTGAAATTATGTTGTCTATGTCTGGTTCATATATAATATGTGTGGATAGTGCTCTAAAAAACATTTCCTTTCGTTTCCTTTATTTGGTGCATAGATATTGGTGAGTTTAATGTGTTTTCTTTCTGTTTTTAGTATACATGATAGTAACCTTCCTTCGTTATCTTTTTTTGTGTTCTGTAATTCTGATCTTCATTCTGTCTTATGAAACCTAAGACGTTAAATTAAGTAATGTTCTCACTCCCTGCTTAGTGCTTAGCATTTCTGGGTATTAGTTATTGAAGGACTGGTTGGTTCAGTGTCAGGATAATGTGACTGAATGAAGTATAATGACATTTTGTCTGCGGCTTGACATTTCATTTAGACAGCACTATAAAGCCCCCACGAGTGCACACTGTCACAAGCAGACAACATCTTGATTTGACCTACAGATTACTTAATTAAGGGTCGTAAAACCAATATAAAACAAACACAAGACCAAAGACATTAACTCCTGGTGCTACATTTGTATACATAATATAAATGGGACATTTCTACTTCTAGTAAAAATGTATAAGTCTGCATAATATGTAATCAAAACTGCACCTTCATCATTTATGGCAGCTCTTCATGCATTTTTTAAAGTATCATTTTTTTTCTATCAGCAAGAGTAATCACAGACCTGACTGCCCACTGGTCACTCGACACTTACAGACCAATATCCACTGGTCAGCAGTTTGTGAAGTCACTAAATACAAGGTCAGCAACATATTTATCTAGGAGATCAGCTGCAGTTAACTTATTACAAACATGTAAAATCAATTAACACTGTTTTAGTCTATTTGTAAGCTGTACTATGCAAGTTCACTATCATCAATACAATATACACTAAACACAGAGAATAAGTCCACCAGCTTCAGATGATAAAATTTTTTTGACAAGGAATGCAAATTATTTATTTGTTTGGTGCAGGAGATAAAACACAGCATACTTGGCCATTTGACTTGCTGATGAATATGGTGCACTTATTTTGGAGAGTATGATATATAAGATACACTTTATATATTAAATCTAGAACTAGTAATATTGTATATGCATGTATTTATCAAATAATTTTAAATTTATTGAAGCATTATAATTGTTTTCAAATTTTTAATTAATTAAAAGGAATATAATTGATATTTACTGCAAATAAATAAATTTTGACCTTAAACTCTACCTTTTTTACAGATAATTATATATGATCTGTATTAGCCACCATACTTTTGTATAAAAGTAGTTCCAAAATAAATGTAAGAGTTACCTCCCTTACATAGTGTCAATCATGGCCTCCGGTGACATGATTTACCCAATATCTCTAACCTCTAATAACTGATATGATAATTTCATAGACTTAATTATTTGCTTCAATTGTATAACAGATAACTCAGGGTTTGTGTTTCTTTCATGATTTTTCAGATTTAAGAAAAATCCACTTGTGTAATTGTTCTGTGCTGCTATGGACTCATATGTAATCTTCTTCAGCTTCTGTCTGTGTAAAGAACTCTTTAAGGGCTTTATCTGGAATATACAGGTCGCAACAAACGTTTTGATATATAATATAGCATAATTCTATCAAATTTCGAGGGTTAATTAATTTTTAAAACATACCCAATAATACCTATTTAGATGACCCTTAAAACAGCTGGGAAGCAGTAATTTTGTTTCTAACTATGATATTTCATGGTTTACAATGATTAAGTCTCGCTCCCTTTGTTATTGTAACCTACAGATTTCCTGGATTTTACAGGACATATCATGACAATGAAGGGAACAAGAACTTTTCGAACAACTGGTTTCGTCCCAGCTATTTTGTAGGAAGGACTTTACGATTCTTTCGTTTGTTTTGATGGTTCCTCGGTTTCTGTCGTTTTGTTTTAGATAAAAATACTTATGAATGAAGCTATGAGCTCATAACACATATTCCATACGACAGACCGACAGCCAATACTGGTGTGACATTGTTGTGTTGATTGGCGCGGTGGTGGGTAGCCGCTAGTTCACCGGATGTTTACATGATGTAAAGCCGATACCTTGGCTTCCTGGAATGTTATCTTACCTTCTTGTTGTTACCTCGGGTTCTACCAATGGCTTACAGGTACAGTTTTGTTGAAGGCTCTCTCCTTCAGCACATGAACGTTTCATACAGTGGCAAGGGTCATACCCACATTTACCATCTTCTGTGTTGCATCTACACCTCATTCGGAAACCTCCTGTACACTTATGGTTTTCAGCCGTCTCAACTGTACCTACAGCAATACATAAAATGTATATAGACATGTAAAATATCTTACAGATGGCCTGTTTTCAGATCTCACCTGTCTCAGCTCACAGATTTTATCAGTTTTCAGATCTCACTTGTTGTCACCAAAGATTTATTAGATTAATTGTCACACTGCAAGCAAATATACACAAATAAGAATCTGGAGACCAAGCATGCATTACTTCTTCCCCTTCTGTTTTCAGAAATAGGATTGCATACAAGGGAAATTTTGATGATGTTTTGTTAAAAAGCCCAAGGATGTCGGGAACTACTTTCATTTCATTATTTTCCTGAACTTGAAATTTAGGACACCACAGACCACACTACTTCAGCTTTTGTCTTGACAACTTTTACCTCACCACTTGATCCTGCAACATTTACACACGAAAAAACAGATCCTCTCACAGACCTGTTTTATGTTTACCTGATCACCACAATACAGGACGTATGACTGCCTTACCAGTGATGACAGGAAGGGATTTCATCACAGTGCAGGAGGTATGATTACCTGACCAGTCGTGACAGGAAGGTATGTCAACACAGTGTAGGACGTATGGTTACCTAGCCAGTCATAACAGGAAGGGATGTCAACACAGTACAGGACGTATGATTACCTGACCAGTCGTGACAGGAAGGAATGTCAACACAGTGTAAGACGTATGATTACCTGGCCAGTCATGGCAGGGAGGGGTGTCAACACAGTACAGGACGTATACTCACCCGGCCAGTCATGGCAGGGGGGGATGTCAACACAGTGCACGACGTATGGTTACCTAGCCAGTCGTGACAGGAAGGGATGTCAACACAGTGCAGGACGGATGATTACCTGGCCAGTCATGACAGGAAGGGATGTCAACACAGTACAGGACGTATGATTACCTGCCCAGTCGTGACAGGAAGGTATGTCAACACAGTGTGGGACGTATGGTTACCTAGCCAGTCATAACAGGAAGGGATGTCAACACAGTTAAGGACGTATGATTACCTGACTAGTCGTGACAGGAAGGTATGTCAACACAGTGTGGGACGTATGGTTACCTAGCCAGTCGTGACAGGAAGGGGTGTCAACACAGTGCAGGACGTATGATTACCTGGCTAGTCATGACAGGAAGGGATGTCAACACAGTGTAGGACGTATTATTACCTGACCAGTCGTGACAGGAAGGTATGTTAACACAGTGTAGGACGTATGGTTACCTAGCCAGCCGTGACAGGAAGGGATGTCAACACAGTGTAGGACGTATTATTACCTGACCAGTCGTGACAGGAAGGTATGTCAACACAGTGTAGGACGTATGATTACCTGACCGATCATGACAGGAAGGGATGTCAACACAGTACAGGACGTGTGATTACCTGACCAGTCGTGACAGGAAGGTAAGTCAACACAGTGTAGGACGTATGGTTACCTAGCCAGTCGTGACAGGAAGGGGTGTCAACACAGTGCAGGACGTATGATTACCTGACCAGTCGTGACAGGAAGGGATGTCAAGACAGTGGAGGACGTATGATTACCTGGCCAGTCATGTCAGGGAGGGATGGCAACACAGTACAGGACGTATGCTCACCCGGCCAGTCCTGGTAGGGAGGGATGTCAACACAGTGCAGGACGTATGATTACCTGGCTAGTCATGACAGGAAGGGATGTCAACACAGTACAGGACGTATGATTACCTGACCAGTCGTGACAGGAAGGTATGTCAACACAGTGTAGGACGTATGATTACCTGGCCAGTCATGTCAGGGAGGGATGTCAACACAGTACAGGACGTATACTCACCCGGCCAGTCATGGCAGGGAGGGATGTCAACACAGTGCACGACGTATGGTTACCTAGCCAGTCGTGACAGGAAGGGATGTCAACACATTGCAGGACGTATGATTACCTGGCCAGTCATGACAGGAAGGGATGTCAACACAGTACAGGACGTATGCTCACCCGGCCAGTCATGGCAGGGAGGGATGTCAACACAGTGCAAGACGTATGATTACCTGACCAGTCATGACAGGAAGGGATGTCAACACACTGCTGGACGTATGATTACCTGGCCAGTCATGTTAGGGAGGGATGTCAACACAGAGCAGGACGTATGGTTACCTGGCCAGTCATGGCAGGGAGGGATGTCAACACAGTGCACGACGTATGGTTAACTGACCAGTCGTGACAGGAAGGGATGTCAACACAGTGTAGGACGTATGATTACCTGACCAATCATGACAGGAAGGGATGTCAACACAGTACAAGACGTATGCTCACCCGGCCAGTCATGACACAAAGGGATGTTAACACAGTGCAGGATGTATGATTACCTGACCAGTCGTGACTGGAATGGATGTAAATATAGCTATAGTAACGTGAGTGTCCTAATGACAATGAATGGAAGGCTGAGAATGTGTCCAGGTCCAGCGCTCGAGTAAGTATGTTGCTATGTTTGTACTTGTTTGTACATATTGTAAATAGTGACTGTCCCTATCATTATCCTATCATTTCAAACATATTTTCATTGAGGGATCACCTGCATACATTTCATATATTCACACTTGCTAATGTTTTGCTATTGATTTATTATCGAAAACCAATGTCACCAGATCTTGTGTATACTGTTGCTATACGTCATGCCTACCACATACTGTTAGAAACCTCAAATCATTCATAAATATTTGATAACGGTTAGGATAATCTTAGCTGATTGTAGCATGTGTGTGTTAGGGGTGACGTATAGCACAATATCACTTACCAAAATGAAATTGATTTTTTCATATCTTCTCGGTTCACATGGAGAGAATATTTTTAATATAATATTTATGCTTATCATCAAAATTAAACTTTTTTTTACTGTGTATGGATATCTATACCAATCCCGGTCCTCCAGGTAATATGGGAAATTACTCACTCCTTGATGACATATCAATTGCACATTTGAATATATGCTCACTTAGAAATAAAACTGATATCCTTGAGACTGAACTTGCTGATCATGACATCAGCTGCCTTACGGAAACTCATCTCAATGACTCTATCCCTGACGATGCTATTTCTTTATCTGATCACTCTCATATCTTCAGTAAAGACAGACTTGATAGAAGAGGTGGAGGAGTTCTTATTTATACCAATGACAAAATTATATCTAAAAGGAGACTAGACTTAGAGAAAGCAGATTTAGAAATCATTTGGATTGAAATTACCCTTAGTCATAAAAATATCACTGAACTTGGCAAAGATTATATACTTATTGGAGACATCAATCAGGATATGTTAAACTTACAACCAAATTCGCACATCATGCGGATTATGACTAAGTTTGGCATTACTAATATTATTCACGAACCTACAAGAACTACTCCTACCTCTTCTACATCTCTCGATATTATTATGACTTATAATTCTGATATAGTAAAAAAAATCCCTCTGTCCAAACTTCAATTTGTAGTGACCACAGTCCAATTAGTTGCAATATATCTTTCAAAACTCATAAGAAATCTGCATATAAAAAGACTATTATGTATTTTGCTAATGCTAACATCTATTTATCTAATATTGATTGGGATACATGTTTGAATGAAAATGTTGATATAGAGACTATGAATAATTTTATTTCCAGTGAAATTCATAATTGTATTGAAAAATATGCACCACATAAAGTTGTCACTATTTGTCCAAATGATAAAGTCTGGATGAACAATGATATTAGATTACACATTAGGAAACGAAATCGTCAACATACCAGGGCCAAACATACTAACACTACTGCAGCCTGGCAAAAATTTAGAGATATGCGAAACACAGTTATTGACCTTGTAAGAGAAGCTAAGCAAAAATATCTACTCAAACTTCAAAAGTCCTCCAGGTAAGTGGTGGCGGGTTGCAAAGTCTATCATGAACATTAACAATAAATCAAACAATGATGCTCCTCTTGTAATAAATGGTGAACTTAAATCACATCCTGTGGATAAAGCAGAATCTTTTAACTCATATTTCACCTCTGTCTCTACTTCTGACTGAACTGACCTTGACATTCCTCCTAATTGTCCTATCTCACAAGAAAAATTATCTTCCATTATTATCACTGAACAGGATGTTCATGATCAGCTCCAACTTATTAAAAAAACTGCTGGTCCAGATGTACTTCAACCTTCTTTTATTAAAGGTATTGCTGACTCTCTTGTAAAGCCCTTACTGTTAATTTTTAACAAATCCATATCCACTGGTTGCATACCTAATATTTGGAAGTGTGCTAATGTTACCCCAACATAAAAGGGCAAGGGAGGAAGAGGTGACCCCAGTAACTATAGACCAATCTCTGTCACATCATTATTTAGTAAACTTCTTGAAAAAATAGTTTTTAAACATCTCTTTAATTGTCTATCCGAGAATAATGTTATATCAAAAAATCAGTCTGGCTTCCTTCCCAATGACTCCACAGTTAACCAATTAATATATTTATATGATGAAGCTTCAAAACAACTTGATCAAGGAAAAGAGGCAAGGATAGTATTTTGTGACATCAGCAAAGCTTTTGACAGGGTTTGGCACAGTGGATTGATTTACAAATTGAAGAAATATGGAACTTGTGACGACGTTTTGAACTGGATTCATTGCTATCTTACTGATAGACAACAAAGGGCAATTATAGATGGCTACAAGTCAAATTTACAAACATTAAAAGCTGGTGTTCCCCAAGGCTCGGTTCTCAGGCCTTATTTATTTTAAATATTTATTAATGACATAGAAGATGATCTCCACTCCCATGTCAAACTCTTTGCTGATGACACTTCTCTTTACGTTTTGATAGATGGTGATGGCAGACATGCTGCAGATATCCTTAATGAGGATTTAAGGAGAATGTCTCTCTGGGCTGATAAATGGGGAATATCATTTAATCCAAGTAAAACTCAATCATTACTAATGTCTAATAAAAATAATTCTGAGACATCTCATCCAGATTTGTTATTCTCAAATAGTGTCGTTATAAATGTCAAAAATCATAAACATCTCTGTTTGCTTTTTAATAGTCGTGGATCATGGTCTGATCAAGTTAATTTTATATATGGAAAAAACTGTACAAAACTATAAATAATACGAATGCTCAAACACAAGCTAGATAGAAAATCTCTTGAAATAATTTATAAATCTTTTATAAGAACAACACTTGAATATGCTTGTGCTGTGTGGAATTATTGCACCCAGGGTGAAAGTGACTTATTGGAATCAGTCCAATTAGAATTATATCAGGTTTGAGAAGAGGTACAAGTCATAACCTAATATATAAGGAAGTTGGTGTAGATAAACTAAAAATAAGACGTGATAATTACCAATGTATATTATTTTTCAAGATACTGCAGCATGACTGTCCTGACCATCTTTATGATTGTATTTTACCATATTTTAATATTGATATTAATCCTCGCCTTAGACATCATAGAAACTTTATTGCTCCCTTGTGCAGAACCAACTTGTATAAAAATAGCTTTTTTCCTAGAATGATGTCTCTATGGAATAGGCCAGACTGTATTTTTCCAAAACTCACTTCATTGAGCCAGTTAAAACTGGAATTACTTAAGGAAAGCACACACGTTTTGCAACCATCTAACTGTACGAATATTTTCAAATACGGTGGCCCCAGGAAGTTGAATATAACATTATGTCAACTACGGAATAAAGTCAGCCAATTAAAATCAGATTTATATAATGATCATCTTACAGATAACCCTAAATGTGACTGTGGTTATATTATTGAAGATGCAAATCAATTCTTCCTCAATTTCCCCAAATATATAGATGAAAGACAGGTTTTATTCAATGCGTTATCTAATTATAACGAAATTGACAACATCATCTTAAATACTGTTACTTTCACTAAGGGTGATATGAACCTTAGCAGTGAATCAAATAAATTTATTCTCTCATGTGTTCTGGAGTTTATTGACGAATCTGGAAGATTTTAACTTAAACTATACTAAAAATTATATTACAACGTGTTTGTATTTGCTATCTTATAACTATAACTCTGGTGTAATTGGGAAGGATGGCACTGTGGATAGTGACAGTGTCTTTGAAGTGCCTCCAACCAAACACTAGGCTATTAATAATTGAAGTAAATAGACTATATTAATTGAAATGTTAAAATCTATGATATTCTAATTATTTTTTTTGTGAACATGTATTAAATGGTTCTAGTATTCTCCTATTAATTCGAACATATACTACATCTTCTCTATAATACTCTCTCTCTCTACATGAATGTATGAAATGTGTGTATTTTCTCTGGAAAGTGCTTTTATAGGCAATGCCTGTGCCTAATCCAATTGTGTCTTTTGAATACAATAAAATTGATTTGAAATGAAATGAAATGTCAACACAGTGCAGGACGTATGATTACCCGGCCAGTCATGACACAAAGGGATGTCAACACAGAACAGGACGTATGGTTACCTGGCCAGTCATGACACAAAGGGATGTTAACACAGTGCAGGACGTATGATTACCCGGCCAGTCATGACACAAAGGGATGTCGACACAGAACAGGACGTATGGTTACCTGGCCAGTCATGACACAAAGGGATGTCAACACAGTACAGGACGTATGATTACCTGACCAGTCATGACACGAAGTGATGTCAACACACTGCAGGACGTATTTATGATTACCTGGCCAGTTGTGACAGGAAGGGATGTCAACACAGTGCAATACGTATGCCTCCGAGCGTGTCTGGTCAAGCATCTGTTTCCCAGGAGGACAGCCAATACACGTATCGTCGCTGTTGTTAATCTTGCATGGATTAACCTCTGTCCCTAAATGAATAGTCGAAAAGGTTTAATTTAACGCAATATGCTTCTATACTACTAGCACTCAGTAGCATATCTTACCTGCTAACACTTCATCATCCCTACTTTATGGGTTACTAAACATTTTCTAATAGTTTCAAAATGTGGAGAATATCATCAATCGGCTTGATGTCACAATCTTACTTGCATCATGAAATGAACTCATCAAACATAAACACCAGAAATACAAATAAAATATACACCTATTTAAAAAATAGTTAGAAAACAATTTAAAAAAATGACCTACATCTATTTGGAATTAATATGTAAAGTGTTCCGAAACATCGGTAAATATATATCAAAAGAGAAAACGTTCCTGTAAAACCCTTGATAACTTCACTTAACAACGTCTGGTTACAAGAGGTTATATAGCATGCCATGTAGATTCTTTTAAGGTTAAAGATAACTCAGATATCTAGTATCAATCATTCAAAATTAATCTCTTGAATTTAATTCATATTATATCCTACTTGTGTAGCTTATATTGTGAATATTATCACTTCATTTCATTTCATCAAATTTTATTGACAAGATGTCGTAGTCAATTGGATTGAATAACAGGCAAAGCCTATATAAATTCTCCCCGACAAATGGACAAGTGGAATAAACAATGAGACATAATATTTTAGACATGTTGCAAATGAAAAAATTAACACAAAATAATTCATATTAATACAAGGCTAAGGGGAAGTAACTCATGAAGGAAACATCTCACACACCTCATACATACTTACACACACATACAAGTACATGTACAAATACATATATTTCAGCATATATATACACTATCCTAGACAGATATTGGCAGGCTTAGACCAAAAGTCCATGTGCATATATTGCACAGGTCACTGCTACCAACAACTGTTACAATTAAAAATAATAAATTCCCTTAATACATATAGAGTGTAAATATTTACAATGTCAAGATAAGTACACGTAATAGACAGTAGTCATGCTCAACTAGAATCTCCTGGATGTAATATAGAATATATAGTATATTTTTGTTTAACATCGTGGCTTTAAGTCATATAAAAATTAAAAAGACGGGATTTTCCAATAAAAATATGCACATAATCAAGTATTCGTCTATTTGTAAACCCATCACATTCAGGACAGCCCTGGAGAAGAATGTTTTTATCAATGTGATTGTGGTTTCCATAACTATTAAGAGAAGTGAACAAAGTAATTCTTTGATTATTAAAAATAGGACATTCCAAAAAGTAACGAGATACTGTGTCATGTTCAGCAGAGCAGGTACAAGCAGGACTATTAGTAAGATGGTCATAGTGTAAATCATAATTTAAATTACTGCAAGAGTTTCGAAGGTGACATAGAATAATAATTGCTCTTCGGTTACCTTCTGTTTTGAAAATTGAAACAGATTCACTATCAGAAATAATATCTTTATTCAAATATTTTTTTAATGCTGCAGGAGAGGGGGGATTAAAAAGATCAGAATTTGCAGTGTTAATTGTGCGGCACATTTGAGGGAAAAAACTGTCGAAATAGTTACTAGTTCTACATAACGGTGGGTTGAAAAACCTAGTTTGTCTGAGAGGGTAGGGGCTATCATTTGATTATTAATAAAGGGATTTAAAACATTTTGTAAGTATTGAGGTGTCTGCCAATGCATAATTTTGTACATCATTACATGTTTGTGTTTATTTCGTCTTACAGATAGTGTTTCCCAACCTAGTTCATTGTATAGTTTGTCATGTGATACCCCAGAACGAAGACCTGTTATTATCCTAGCTGCTTCTAATTGTACAGATTCAAGAACATCTTTTGCCTGTCGTGTACAATTATCCCAAATTATATCTGCATATTCCAAAATTGGCTTAATAAATCCCACATATATTTTAATTAATGATTTTCTAATGACTTTAGTTTTGACATGGCGAAGAATATTAAGTCTATTGTAAGCTTTTTTGTATATATTCTGTATGTGCTGTTTCCATGTTGCATCATCTTGAAGTGTAAGTCCTAAGTGTTGATGTGATGATGTGTCTATGATTTGGCTATTTTGGAAAAATAGTGGGATGTGATGGGTGTCTTGTTTTCTAGAAAATATGAGTGATTTTGTTTTACTTGGATTGAATTTAATGTCCCAAGTTGTTGCCCATTCACC